AGGGTGAGGTCCTCAATGGTGACGGCGTCGCGGTCCTTGTCCTTGGCCGACGCCTTCTCGGGCTTGCTGCTGCCTGCTTCGGGCCGAGGCCCCCCGCCACCGCCGCCGCCGCTGCCGCTGGGGCCCGCGTTGGCGGTCGTCGTGGACGGGTCGGGGCGGCCTTCTGCTGGTTGTGGGGGCTGGTGGCTGGTGGCGGCCGAGGTGGAGGCCGGGGCGGCGCCGGGTGTGTCTTCGTCCATGGGGACGAAGCGGGCGGCCGAGACGGAAGGGTTGGCGGGTGAGGGCTTTTTGGGCGGCATTGTGGGTGGTGAGAGCGAGGGCGTGTATGTGTGGTTGAGTTTTCGGCGAGGAGGCCCAAGGTGGGTGGTGAGAGTCGGGGCCCTTGTAATCTCTATGGTGTTCCTCGTCCCAGATATGTCCAATGTAGTCTACTGACTCATCGCGATGAGGCTGACAGGCTGACGACCAAGTGACGAGGCGCAAGCGTGAAGCTGGTCGAGTGAGTACGGGGTTCTGTTCTGGGTGAGGTTGAGGTTGAGGTTGAGGTGAGAGCGGTGCAGGTGCAGAAGCACGCGCCCACGCCACACTCGGAGACGCGACTTTTGCGTGTGGCGCGTAAAGTGGTGGCTTCCCTCTCTGTCAGACTGGCCGTGCCTCCTCACGAGCCCTTAGGTACTGTACCTAGGTACGTACCTAGGTACCCAAGGCACCAAACGTAAGGTAGGTAAGTACGTACGTCCAGCAGGTCCACCATAGCAAGCCCGACATGGTCGCCGCTTGTATTCCCCATAACATCCTGCGTGTCACCATTCATCATCAGAACAGAACGAATGACCCAGTCGTCACCATCGGAAACAATTCAAACCCACGCGTTCGTCAGCCTCATTCAGATGCACTACACAATTGCACCCCCTGCCTGACACGCTCTCATGACACTGCCACTGCCGCTGCCACTGCCCCCCAGCTAAGTAGGCACATGGAGCATCGTGGGCCTGCCTCTACGATCCGATCTTTTTGTTTCAGACTGGCCACACCGGATGCCGTGCCTAAAAAAATCCCAGATCGTGAGATGCGTCGCTGTCCCTTCTAAACGGACGCCTCTAAACGGACGCCGCACGAGATAGATTGCCGAACAGTTTCGCATCATCTTCGCGCCCAAGTCATCCGACCCTCCACGTCAGCCAACAAACACATGACAGACAGCCCCGCGAGGCAGACCGCGTTGTCAGAATCATTTCTCAGCTGGGTAATGGTACGTATAGTGTGTCAAATTCGGCCTCCACGGCTCTACCTAGGAGGAACACGACCGACCGGCCTCGCGTGCCCGAGTGTGCTTCGCTGCGCCATGCTACAGAGCCAGGCAGAGCAGTTGCTCCCTGTGCGCTTTGCTCGAAAATATCCAAAGGGAAATGGAATGAGTGATTGATAGAGAAGAAAAAAAACGCTATGTCCATGAAGAGAGGGGGGAAAGGACTGATAAAAAAAAGGAAAAAGGGCTGCAGTCGGCAGCTTGTCATGAGTATCATCAATAAAAATGGGGTATCACCAGCACAAACATCCTCCCAAACATACAGAACCACGAGCCAATGCCCCCGGTTTTGGAACTTCAGCGTTCCACGACGAGGACCCTCTGCCCTTATATATATATATATATATATGTAGCCCCCACCGCGATCCCAAAATGGCCAGCCGACCCTCACAGGCTTGTGTGGCCATGTGGCCGGCTGACGAATGTAACGAGGGCAAACACGACCAACGTGCCATATATCCTTGGCAAGTCCTCGCAAGAGGTCACACAAAACCCCGCACAACGAAGCTCTTGGCAGGCCTCGTGCACCGCGTGCGTCTTGTTTCTTTCCTAGTCTTGCGGGAGGGGCGCAGGGATGGCCCGCATCTGAAACGCGTCAAAAACGCACGTCGTTCGCTATCAATCGACACGACACCACCCCAACTCACATCTTCCCGGTGGGGACATGACATGGGTGACGCCGGCAGGTTCGGCCGTTGTGCTCACGCGCCGCGGCGTCGTGTTCGGTTTCAACACCCCGCGGCGCACAGGAACGCCTGTCTTGCTGTCCCGCCCATCAGCCAATAGCCCGGCCAATCGCGGACTGTGGGACGACAGGCCGCGGTGAGAGCCCGCCCAGCGGAACCTCGTCATCAAGGCATATGCTGGGCGGCACTGATGATGTAGAGAAGACACGGTGGTGGTTTCGCTGCTCCGAGAAGGAGGCCGAAGAACCATGGAAACCGTGCTGGGTGAAACCGCCGAGTTGCTCATTTGATGAGCGAGGGGAAAACTCCCCGTCTGAGTAGAAGCTGTGGCCATAGCCGTACCACTGATCGCGAACGCTGCTGCCACCAAAGCTGAAGCTGCTGCGCGAGCTTTGTGTCCTTCCGTGGTGGCCACGAGGCGATGTGGCAGATGATGAGGGTGGGTATTTGGAGAGTCGAGATGTTTGCCGCTTGGGGCTGGGGATAAAAGCTTCAGCGCCTTGAACAGCCTCGTCCGTCAGCCCGGGCCGCGAGTTCGGTGCGCGAGCAAGGACAGGCGTCTGCGGAATCTCGATGCTCTTCTTGCCGCCGTTGGTGAACGTGAACGAGTGCGGCGACTGGCTCTCCCCCGAGGCTCGAGGCTGGTATTGGTTGTGGTTCTGGTAAATGACCACACTCGGCGGTTTCTTAAGCGAAGCTGTCGATGCGTGCTTCGTCAGGGAGGTAGGCACCTTCTCAATGGTGTCTTCATCCTCCTTTCTATACTTCCAAGACTCAATCTCCTCATCATCGATGGGCGTGATGCCTCGGTTGATGAGAGGAAGGCGTCCTTGTCGGTAACGGTAGCACGCAAGTATAGTGCCTCCTATCAAAACCACGGCCAGGACAGAAAGAACCGTGCTCAAAGCAATGGCGAGCGTTCGGTGAGGCTCATGCTGCTTTTGGTCGTTGCCGTCAACGCGGGGGGCTGAATAGCCGGGTTCGTCCGCCGACAATAGTGTCATGGCGAAATGTGGCGTCAGTGACGAATTCGTGGGGGACGGTAAAGTAGCGGTGATCGTCACCGCATGTGGTTGGAACACATGGGGTGTGCCGAAGGCGAGCACGCGAGGTTCACCAAGACGATGGGGTGCGCAATTCGAGATCGGTGAGCTCGTGACCTCGGACTAAAGGTTGGAGCCGGGCTTCAAACGCTGTTGGAAGACACAAAGGTTCAAGAGAGCGCGGAGGTTTCCGGAGGGTTAAAATATCGTGAAACGAAACACGAGAGCGAGCGTGGTTCGAGATGACACTGTGTGAAAGATAGCCTTGTTAGCAAGCGCTTTGATGAGCTGTTATATGACAGCCATGGAAACGGTAATAGTAGTGGGCAGGAGAGAGGAAGATATGGCAGCGGATGAGCTGCAGAGAGGGACAGATAGGCAGGCACTGCATATATACCATGCCTGAGATGCATGGACTGTCGCTGCAGTCCTCATGGTCTGTCGAAACCTCTCTCCTCAAGCTGACCCCACACATCGACTGTCCCTGAAGGGAAACCGTGGCCAAGTCTCAACCGTGGCAGCGAGGTCACACGTATCGAATCCTTAGACCAAGATCAAAGACCAAGGCACGAGAATAAGATCGAATTTGACATCTCATGGGTGGGAAGGTGACAAGCACAAAGGAGCAGAGGGACACAAGGGGAAACCAACATGAACGTTTTAGCTGCTCGGCGGTACGCAGGACTGAATCGATTGTCGATAGGTTTTCCGACTCAAGGATGAACAACGCGAGAGTCGGTCGGCCAGGTTGGATGACCATGAGGCAAACGGCAGAAGCCTGGGGATGAGTGATGATCTCAAAAGGCAGGCGGGTTTCCTATATAATATATAAGCGACGGTACTTTGAGCGGCGGTGACGGGTGGCAGGGGGTGCAAATGAGCTGCAGGTGCTGCGGGCCTCGTGGGGGGGCCAGGAGGGGGTGCGGAGCACCTCTGGCTACGACACGGCAGTGCAGGGTTGAGTAGACATGGGAGCTATTACAGTACTACGGTACCGTATATCCGTGCACGGGCGTGGAGGCCGGGGTTCGTGAATATTGCCGCAGGTTAGCTGATGCACCATGATGTGCGGGTGAAGTGGGCGTTGGTGTTGAGCGGAAACGCATTGGCGTTTAAGACAAGTTGGTTGGTGGTGGTGGTGGTGCAGGTGGACCTTCGGAGGAGGTTGAAGTGCCTGCAGGGGAGGGCCAGGATAGGACAGGCTGGCAGGTGGGCAGGGGTTGCATGTCGACGCGCAATGAGCGACGATGACGGGCCGGGCGGGAGGGGGTGTATCCTCTTCTACCTCTCGAGCCTCTTCCCTCCCTCACTTGCCTCGATCATCTCTCTATGTGATGTGCGGTGTAGGTACAATGACAGCGGTACCCCTGTTGACGAGGTTGACTGTCTTGTAAAGCCGTTTGATGTCGGCTTGATGACGGCGATTTGTCACCTCTGCGTTGAACGGTGGTTAGACGACAGGTCTCAGAGATGGGACGAGCAGGCCTGCGAAAGGGTGAAGTGAGGCATATCGACGATTTGCAGCTGGCTTGCGTCTGTTGCGTTATTCCATGAGCCTGCTGGCGCCACGACGAGGGGACGAAGCTGAACACACGCCAGCCTGACGGTGACTGGAGAATGCAGTATATTGCGAGCGCACACCATCTGTTGTTCGCGTCTGTCTGGCTCACAAGGCCGAGGATAGCGTCAGCGAAAGGAAAGGGCCGCAGCCACGGTCTGCCGCTAGTCAGGCACCAGGTCCTCAATGTCAGGGCCAAAAATGGTCGCATGGCCACGAATGGGCCTGGATGGTGCCATGTGTTCCTGCTGCTGGCCGTCGTCTTGGCCTGGGCGCAGGAACAGGTGCAGGAACAGCCAAACAGGGTAGTCTCGGGCCCGAACAGATAGATTGGCGAACGAGGGGCAGAGTGACAGAGCGGCCAGCGACGCTTTACCGTCACGCTCTGAGCCTGAGCCTTCGATCAAGTTTGTTGGCCACAACGACCAGCGTGTATGTGTGTGCAGCCACAGGGTCCAGAATGTAACGAACGGTCTACTGGTCACTGTGATGCCAACACCGACTCAGGGTAGCACCGCATCTTGACAGGTCGAGTTTGTCACGCTCGATTGCGGGAGCTCGAGAGTCGATTGCGCAGAACAGCACAGGCATATTTGTCAAGGCGGCACGGCACGGTACGGTGGTCGTGGATCAAGCGGGAATTCGAACCGACCTCAATGTGATCCCAATGCACCAGCTGGCGCGAGCTGTTTCAGCACTGAATGTCGGACTTATTTTGTTTTTCGGCATGTTTCCTCTGGCTATGACTCGTTGCCCGCGTCGAATGGACTACGGGATGACGATGACTGAAGAGGGGGACTACACCAGCACATGGAAGGTGAAACTGTACAAGACAGTCAGCAGCACACCGGTCAATAACGAGTGTGATATGGTTTCAGCCCGCCGTAGACCACAGTGAAAAGGGGGAATGCGTGGGCAATCATCGGTGACACTCGCTGTGGCGGCAAGAAGCGGTGAACGAGTCACGACGGTTTAAAGAAGACAAGAGGAATCCAAGAGGCTGGCTCGGCGGACATTGATGGAGTTTCGCCATGGGTCGGCTTTGTGTTCAGCCGTGGAGTAGCGCACGTTGCTGGCACTAAAAGTGGATGTCGGGCGGACAGATCGAATGGAGCACGATGCGGTGGATTGGAGGCAGGTACGAGGACGAGGCGAGTAAGGTGAGGCGAGGCATCGTGGGATGAAGCAGCTGGCAAGCCCGATAAGCCCTCCAGACTTTTCCCGCGTGTCGTGGGCTGGAACAAGTGGGTATGGATTCGGTAGGTGGATTGGTGGATTTGACGAAGGCTGGATGACCAGCGAGACAAGCGAGCTGGTGATGGCAAAGACAAGCGAAACGAGCCTCCCCCCCTCCTCCCCCTCCTTTGCGGCCTCTTGGCGTCGTTGAGCTCCCCTTCAGTGCAGCTCGTCAGGTCGAGGTTGGGGTCGGGTCAGGCCACGATCCAGTCGTTGGGCAGTCCAATGAGACGCGGTCCATACAGTGGAAAGCCGCCGCGCTGAAACAGCGCAGGTCGTGGACAGGCTCGATTGGAACTGATGTTGGTGTGGCATGCGCCTTGCCACATTCGGTCTGTTGGTTATTTCCCAGTTGTCAAATGCAATTCGATAGGTCTGGACAGCCGTGGTGTTGGGCTGCCTTGCAGTCTGACAGCAGCATTTCTTATTCCAGATCTCGGTCAAGGAAAAGAGACGGTTGACTGGTTGGTAGACTTCTGGTCGTTGGTATTGCTGTTGCACAGAGAAGGGGAGGTGGATGGAGTGGATGGGTAGCATGGGGAGGGGGTCTGGGAAATTCTCCGCTCACCGTGCACCTTGCTGCATCCTTCCTTTCCTCTTCCCTCGCAACTGCCTGGAACCCAGTAAACCCCCCAAGTGAGGTGAATTGACCTCCGTGTGGCCTGCGCCTACCCCCAGGTCTGTCATATTTCGGCGTGGGGCAGGGAAGGAACACGCCGTTCAGGAGCTTGGGCCAAACATGTACCTACACCTTTACCAAGGAGCACACGTGAGCCCCTAGAGGCTTCAGCCTGCGTACAAGTACCTACCTTATCCACATGTTCTTCATGATCAGGGCACGGGTACTGCAGAGTGGTGGTGCGATTCGAACTGACTGTCAGTCGGAGGAAGTGACGTTCCAGCCTCCACCTGCACCCCCCTCCCTCCTTCCCAATCTCGCTCTCACGAACTGTTCAGCCAAGTCGGCATCCAATGTCACTCTGGCAGCGGCGCCGCAAATGACAATGCAACCTCGTCCCAGCCATTTCCAAGGTTGACCTACGGAGCGAAGGAAACAAGCCGCCATCTACCCCTTCATGGGCGCTGCGTCTGTCGGAGTATTTCGATCGAAAAAGTAGCAGCTTCCGTTGGCACTGGTCACCGACGCGACGATCCTCTTTTCTTTTCTTCCCCTTCACGAGCCTTCAGCCTTGGAGCCGTGAGCCTTGACCCCTTCGGTCAGTGTTCGACTGGCCATCTCAATTTCGAGCATCGAGGCTAGGGAGAGGCCTGCGAGGGTCCGTTCGCCGTATAGATGTCTTGCCGCTGACCTTCTTTCCTTGTTCTTGTGCTCATCCCCGCATGTCACGGAAGAAAGCGACATCCAAAGGAAACAGCCTGCCAGATACTGCTCTTCTTTTCGGGCGGTTGTCTCGCAGCTAGGGGCGCACCGCGAACCCCCCCCCCCCCCCCCCTTCCTCCATGGATGAAAAGCAATGGCCGCATGGTGCCAGTGGTCCTGACCAGAGAGCCACCAAGCCAGCCACCCGCCTAGGTACGCTAACAGGCGCCACAGTCCAGTTTAGGTCATCCTCCCCAAGGACTGTGTGGGCTTGCCAGTCCGCCACTAATGTACACCAAGCGCCTTGCTCTACACCATACCACCCACACCACATCACCCATCACCATCACCGTCCGTCCGCAAAGGGAGGAGGGGGAGCAATTTTCTCCTCCTCCCCCTTCTGTCGAGTACAGTCCTGAGCTTTGCCACCCTCGCTCTGCCTCCATGGCGGAGAGCCACACCTGTTTCTCTCTAGAATCGACTTCGGCTCGTGCCCTGGCGAGATGAGATGTCCAGGCGCTCACCTTCGTGACCCGGCAGATACGGACAATAAGAACAATGGGCACCGCCAAAGGTCGGCGTGATCAGACCAGGATTGGGGTCGATAACCTGAAGTGGTGGTGGGTGAACGGACGGACATCACTCCGGTCCCTCCTTTGGCGTGGAACACGACCTATTCATACTGGGACATCATACCTCCATCATCGTGGAGATCACGACATCGTGAAAGAAGAGAGGGGTTCAGCACGACATGGGTCATCTTTCGTTGCGCCGGTGGAGCAGCTGATGCGAATCGACGGCATGCCACTTCACGACATCACCCACGATCTTCCCAGGCTCCACGGT